GGAAGTCTGGAAGATCCGCATCTGGCACGATAACACAGGTAGGTGGAGTTTGCAAAAAATATCTTTCGTAGCAACTTAAAATCAGCTGCTGTCCAGAGAAAATTATGAGTTATGCAAATATGCAAAGAAACATAATATCGATATAAATTGTTTTAAGATATTTTTCTTTGAAAGGTGTCCTATCATGCCAAATGCACTTTTTGTATGGCTTTTATACATAAAGATGTGTCCCCGGTGTGTCAGGGAACTCACGCAGCGTCAGAAAATAAAACCCTCCGTACCCAAATCTCTAATACAGGGATACAACGGAGCTGATCCAGATTTGCTGCCGATATGACGTAATATCTGAAATGTGGGCGGGCTTTACACTCACGGCCCTATCAGAGACGTTGCTATCAGAAACAATGCACGACACGTTTTGGACGTAATATGATCTTTGTTTACATTAGCATCGCTAACACTCAGAGCTAACCTGTACTGGAGAGAGCATGTGTAAAGAAGCAGGAAATAAAAAGGAACTCACCTTGTGATAAACCTGAGAGAGAAAAAGCATTTGAACTCCATACTGTTTCAGAAATAATCCTTGATGTGGTTTAGAACATGGCGTTTAATCACGGCAGCATTTAGCTGATTTTCTGGGTATACATTTTTAAAGCTTTAGACCCAGAATCAGCAATTCTCTAACAGGGCTGAAGCAGAGGGATATGAGGGAAGTCTAAAATGCACGATCTGTTTGGTATTTTGAGCAAAACACTTCATAGACATGTTTTTTATATATTTATATCTGAGACATATAGGAGACCTTTAGGAGACTTTAACTGAGTGTGTGTGACTTCAGGTCTGGACCCGTCCTGGTTTGTGGAGCAAGTGGTGGTCTGGGACCCTCAGACTGACCACATGTTCTTCTTCCTGCTGGAGGACTGGCTCTCTGTGGAGAACCAGAAGAACGGATCCGTGGAGAAGGAGGTTCTGGCCTCATGTGAGCTTTGAACTGAATTAATATGCTTTTTTTTAATATGCAGTAATTTCTATGAATCTGCACTCTCCTCGGTAAATAAACAAATGCTTGTTCCTCCTCTCAGGTCCAGAGGAGCTGTCTCAGTTTCGTCGGGTGTTTTCCTCCCAGCTGGTGTTTGGGATGGTGGAGCATCACCTGTGGCTGTCGCTATGGGAACGCCCCGCTCACAGCAGGTTCTCTCGGGGTCAGAGGGTCACCTGTAGTGCCGTGGTGCTGCACTTGTACCTGGCTCTGGGGGCGCTGTGGTACGGGGCCGTGGGCACACAGGGACTCAGGTAGGAGGGCAGGCCTCAATCAACAAATTAAATGTCTTTTTCTGGTTTGACAATTTGTTTTAGAATTTGACTATTTTTTGAGAATTTTACTTGTTTTGAAGAATCTGACTTTTTTTCGCCGATTTTTGACTTTTTCTCAGAATTATATTTTTTTTGAGAATTTCACAATTTTTTTGAGAATTTAGTTTTTTTGGGAATCTGACTTTAGTTTGAGAATTTGACTATTTTTTGAGAATTTGACTATTTTTTGAGAATTTGATTTCTTTTTTGAGAATTTGACTTTTTTCTTCAGTTTAACGTTTTGTTTGATAATTTGAGTTTTTTCCAAATTTTTTCAGAAATTTAGTTTTTATTTAGAATAAGATTTTTTTTCTCCAGAATACGATTTTTCTAAAGAATTTGACTTTTACCCAGAATATAACTTTTTTTATAAATACATATTTTTTACGAGCCCCAAATGTTCTGTGTTCAGTGGCCCGGTGTCAGCGCGGCTGCTGGTGAACATGGAGGCTGTTTCTGTTGGGATGACGGTCGCTGCTCTGGTGTTCCCTCTGCAGTGGTTCCTCTGTTTCCTCTTCAGAAAGTCTCACAGTCAGGTGAATATAATCCTGGATTTCTGTGCTTTGTTTCTGCGCATGGCTGCTGATTAGAGGTCATTAGAGGTCAGCACAGAGACGTGTGTGTGATTTGAACAAAGATTTGTTTGACAAACAGTTAGTGTGTGTGTGTGTGTGTGTGTGTGTGTGTGTGTGTGTGTGTGTGTGTGTGTGTGTGTGTGTGTGTGTGTGTGTGTGTGTGTGTGTGTGTGTGTGTGTGTGTGTGGTCTTACCTGACCTTACCTGATTGTTAACAAAATAAAATATATGTACTTTTCCATTTTATATTGAGTTACATACTTCTCATTACTTTTATAATTTAAATATGATTTTGTCTCTAATTTTAAATGTTTGTGTTTTTTTTATTAACTTAATAAAAGATTTATTTATATTGTTTATTTTATTTAAGATATATTACATTTTATTTTTAAACGTAACTATAATTTTGTCAGTTTCATTTATTTATTATTTTTATTCTGAATGTTCTTTTACTAAGTGTTTCTTTGTTTGTAACCATGCATACTTATTCACTGAAGCATCATAAACATATAATGGATAAACAAACAAACAAACAAACAAACAAACTGTAATGTCTTCATTAGGAACCAATTTTAAGGTGCAATTAATAATGATTTGATCTTTTCCTGCACGAATGAATGAAACATGTATACACTGTATCAGAAATCCACTTCCATATATCATGTTATTACAGTGTACAGTATTTCTTAACATTGACTTGATCCCCTCTCCAGGTAACCGTGGATACGTCCGTCCCTCCCTCCCCCATCTGTCACTCTGTGGAGATGGACGTCTTCCTCGGCCAATCAGATCTCTCCGGCCCGTCCTTCCTGTCTCTGTCTGACTCCTCCTCCGGCCCGTCATCTGTGAGCACGCACGCAGTATTTACATTGCAATGGAATGGAATAAAATATGGAATAAAAAAAAAGATCGGTAAAGTGTCAGTGGGGGGGCCGCGCCTTGTTTATGAGGCCGGTAGCGGAGGGGAAGAAACTGTTTTAAACTATTCTTTGATGGATGTTTTTTCTGAATCTGTTATTCCATTGTGTTCCTTTCTGTTGTCTTCTTATTAAGTGTTCATGTTGATGTAAAGCACTTTGAATTGCCTCTGTTTCTGAAAATGTGCTTTATAAATAAACGCACATTACCTTAACTTACCTTACTTACCTTAACTTACCTGACCTTACCTGACCTTACCTTACCTTACTTACCTTACCTTACCTGACCTTACCTGACCTTACCTTACCTTACTTACCTTACCTTACCTTAACTTACCTTACCTTACCTTACTTACCTTAACTTACCTTACCTTACTTACCTTAACTTACCTTACCTTACTTACCTTAACTTACCTTACTTACCTTAACTTACCTTACCTTACTTACCTTACCTTACCTTACTTACCTTACCTGACCTTAACTTACCTGACCTTACTTGACCTTACCTGACCTTACCTTACCTGACCTTACTTGACCTTAACTTACCTTACCTTACCTTACCTTAACTTACCTTACCTTACCTGACCTTACCTTACCTTACCTGACCTTACCTTACCTGACCTTACCTGACCGTACCTTACCTTACCTTACCTTAACTTACCTGACCTGAACTGATATTACCTTACCTTACCTGACCTTACCTTACCTTACCTGACCTTACCTTACCTGACCTTACCTGACCGTACCTTACCTTACCTCCTTACCTTACCTTACCTGACCTTACCTTACCTTACCTGACCTTACCTTACCTTACCTTACCTTACCTTACCTTACCTTACCTTACCTTACCTTACCTTACCTGACCTTACCTTACCTGACCTTACCTTACCTGACCTTACCTTACCTGACCTTACCTTACCTTACCTGACCTTACCTTACCTGACCTTACCTTACCTTACCTTACCTTACCTTACCTACTACCTACCTTACCTTACCTACCTTACCTGACCTTACCTTACCTTACCTGACCGTACCTTACCTTACCTTACCTGACCTTACCTTACCTTACCTGACCTTACCTTACCTTACCTTACCTGACCATACCTTACCTTACCTGACCGTACCTTACCTTACCTGACCTTACCTTACCTTACCTGACCGTACCTTACCTTACCTTACCTGACCGTACCTTACCTTACCTTACCTGACCTTACCTTACCTGACCGTACCTTACCTTACCTGACCTTACCTTACCTGACCTTACCTTACCTGACCTTACCTGACCGTACCTTACCTTACCTGACCGTACCTTACCTTACCTTACCTGACCTTACCTTACCTTACTTACCTTACCTGACCGTACCTTACCTGACCTTACCTCTACCTGACCTGACCTTACCTGACCTTACCTTACCTTACCGTACCTTACCTCCTGTAGTTACTGGACAGCAAGGCGTTGGACTCCAGTATTCTGGACTTCTGGGCTGCGTCTGGTTTGGCCCCGCAGAAAGATAGAGCCCATCAGGAGGGGGGGGGTGTAGAAACATGGCCGTCATGTGACAGCCTCCTCAACCTCCCAGCATGCATCACTGAGCCCCCGATCCTCTGCAAGGCTTCACCTTCATCCCGTCAGCTGAGGAGGAAGAAGCAGATCCGCCTCGCTGCACCCGCCTCCAACAAAACGCCTACAAACCAAAACATGAAAAGCAACTTAGTGCAAGTTCACAGCCAGAATCTGACCACGCTTCTGACGCTGTCTGGTGAGAAACTGCTCAATTAAACTCTGAAAAAGTCTAATTTAATAATCATGGAGGGTGCATCTGGTGCGTCTCAGTCAAAGAGAGTGTTGTATACTTTCAAATAAGCAACGTGAGAAAATACAGTCAGGTTTATTGAGTGTTCTGCTTAAAAATAACATTAAAGTACAACATGGTTATTACAAAATCCCACATTGTAGCCGATAACAAGAATAAGGTGGAATGGGAAAAAACACCTACTCAATTAAACTCGAAAAAGTTCAATTTAATAATCATGTAGGGTGCATCTGGAAAGTCTCAAAGCAACCAGTGTCAGAGTGAGTGTTGTATAGTTTAAAATAAGCAACATGAGATCAAATAGTCAGGTTCATTGAGGAGATAATAACATTACAGTACAAATTAAATTGTTATTATAAAATCCCACATTGTAGCCAATAATACATGCTATATATATGTATTATAATAATACAGTTGATTGGGAAAAATAACACCTAATTGCAATTCATTTAATTGATATTGCAATTAGAATATTATAGGAAATGACCATTTTGGAAACTTTATTAATATTTTAATTGAAACATATATTTTACACGATCAGTGTCTGATTACTTTTATACCAAACAAAGACTTCTCGGCAGCTCCAAAATACTTTTAGATATTGTCACATATTTTTCCTCACTGCCAATTTCAATTAGCAGATAATAAATATAAATGTGTGTGTGTGTGTGTGTGTGTGTGTGTGTGTGTGTGTGTGTGTGTGTGTGTGTGTGTGTGTGTGTGTGTGTGTGTGTGTGTGTGTGTTGCAGAGGAGGATCTTCTGATGTCTATCGCAGCAGCGTCAGAGGACTCAGCAGATTTAAATCACAGCAACTCAGACAGCGGGCGAGACTCTCCTCGAACCATCTCCTCTCTCTCCACCACGTGAGCATCTGTCACTCATGCAAATACAATTTTATGCATATCAGTGTTTATCAGAATATGCATGATTGTGACTTTGTGTTTTTCAGCCGCAGCAGGTCCTGCAGCAGCTGGTCTGAGGTCAGTGAGTCTGTGTTTGGACTCTTCAGGTCTCCCTCTGTGATCTCTGTGGACTCGGTTGCCAGCACCTTCCTCCCCAGTCCGTCTCCAGACTCCAGCAGGTCCCCCTCCATCACTCGCATAGGTAGAAGCTGATTCTGTGAGAACAGCACCATCTGGTGGCCTGAAATATGTACTACAGCGTCTCCAGCGCTTTCCAACGGCAATGTCCGTGGCTGTCTCCTCCTGATTGGTGGAGTTGGCCCGATAGCCGTAGCGCCACTTCTGTGACGTCATAGAAGTGTTCAAATCTGGATCAGTCTGTATCAGATCCGTTGCAGCCCCTTTTTAAGAGATTTGGGTATGGAGGAAAATAGAGAGGGTTGTGTTTTCTGACACTTGGTGAGTTCCCTGGAACACCGGGGACACATGTTCATGTAGAAAAGACGTACAAAAGTGCATTTTGCATGATAGGTCCTTTAAACTGGGATCCATTAGGCTACTTTTAGTCTACTTTTTAAACTGTGTTCACTAAATAATCAATTACTTTACAAACTATTTAAACTGTCTGAGTTTATCTGACATTTCAAGTCTGTATCCATTACTTTTAGTTATTTAAAGTGTTGATGTATTACTTCTAGCAAACTTCCACAATCTTTCCATGTGTTTTCTTTTAAG